TTTCTGTTTCCTGTAGCAGAAAGTATCCTAATTGGTTTGCTTCTTTCTTTGCAAGTCTGATTCTGTACACTAAGCATTTTCCAAACAACATTTTTTTTTGTATGAGGAACTTCTTGGTCACTTTTGATTTCCAGTCTTAAGAAAGGACTTCCACTACACCTCCATCAAGGACTTCCGCCAAGATGGAGGCCTAGGTGGAAGCACTGTGCCTTCTCGTATAACCAAGTTTAAAAACAACAAAGTTTTAGCAACAAAAATTCAGCCAAACCACAGAAAATTGAACTATAAGGAAGTCTGACAACAATGAACCCTTCAGCCAAACCAGTAAGAGGGGAAGAGCCAGCAGCAGAGTGGGGTCAGTCAGGAAAGATTCACCAGACCGACCCAGGCACACAACTCAGGCACACAGGCAGCTATGGGCGGATCCCAGGTGTGGAGAAGCGGGTGGACCCACTGAGGGCTGACCACGGTCATACATTCACATGCAGATAAACCAGTGAAGGAGAGAGAGGTGAGACAGACCGTGCAGGCCTCAGTGGCGGAAAGCGGCAGAGGGGACTGCCATTGTCTCTCTCTGACCCTGCCCCCACATACAGCATCATAAACCAGTGACCTGGGTGGCCCCACCCTGGTGAACAACTAAGGCTCCACTCCTCATACACAACAGGCACGAACAGATCAAAACATGGCTCAAGAACAACTCAGAGCCCCAGAGCCCATAAATCTAAGTGAACAAGAAATAGCCAAACTTTCAGATGCACAGTTCAAAACACTGGTGATCAGGATGCTCACAGAACTGGTTGATTTTAGTCACAAATTAGAGGAACATATGAAGGCTAAACTAATTGAAATGAATGGAAATGCACAGGAAACCAATAGTAATGGAAAGGAAACTGGGACTCAAATCAAAGGAGTGGACCAGAAGGAGGAAAAAAATGACCAAACAGAAAAATATGAAGAAACAAGAATTCAAAAAAAGGAGGAGAGGCTTAGGAACCTTCAGGACATCTTTAAATGCTCCAACATCCAAATTATAGGGGTACCAGAAGGGGAAGAAGAACAGCCAAGAGTGGAAAACTTATTTGAACAAATAATAAAGGAGAATTTCCCCAGTCAGGCAAAGGAAATAGACTTCCAGGAAATCCAGGAAGCTCACAGAGTCCCAAAGAATTTGGACCCAAGAAGGAACACACCAAGGCACATCATCATTACATTAGCCAAGATTAAAACGAAGGAGAGAATTCTAGAAGCAGCAAGAGATAAGGGGACACTGTTACAACCCTATAGCTTTTCTTCAGTTTGGGGTTATTAATTTAATATAACATCCCTTAGCACTAAAAATTTGTAATACTAAAAAAAAAAAAGAAAAAAAAAAAAAGGGAAAAGAGAAAAAACCAAATTATTAAAATTAATAAAAAACACAACAAAAAAAAAAAAAAAAAAAAAGGTTGGGGGGGGGGGGGTTGGGGGGGGGGTTTGTGGGGTTAAAAGAGGGGGGTGGGGGAAGGTGTTTATGTGTGTTATACTGAATTGATATTTACTGCACCAGAAATTTGAAATGTAGATAACTTTAAAATATTTAATTCATTTAAAAACAATAATAAATATATTAACATGTGAACATCAATGACATATTTAAAAACTATATTTTCTCCCCAAATTAGAAGAGTAGCATTGTTTAACATTTTTTACAAATCTACTTAATGTTATGCTTATTAGAAGATAGCTGGATTCTCATACCTACTTTTTCATTCTATCCATGGCGATTTGTTGTTTTGGTTGAAGAATATGAAGAAAGCCTAGCCTCACCCAGACGTGCATAGAAAAGAGAGGAGATTTTAAGAGCCTTTTCAGATAGTATAGGCATCCTTCTTTGTTGCCTCACCAAAACTTTCAAGTAGTGGTTTCTTAAATATTAGTTGCAATGTGAAATCTGGAACCACACCAATGAATTCTTGTACTATGTTCCCTCTAAATCCATTGGTTTATCTTGTACCTTGAATGGATCTTTCACCCTTACATGATTGTGCATTGGCCATTTGGAAAAATTGGTATGCTAATTCATGCTCTTCCAAATTTTGGTGTATTTCATAATACAACATCCAAACCCCACACTTTTTAGTATCACCATGATCATCAGAAAAGTCTTAAAGTATTCAGAAGCAGTTCAGCCCATGGCAGAAAGCATCTGAATTAACAAGTTGTTTAAAAATTCAAATTTTCACTTGAAGGTTTTAATTTTTATCATTGGTTATAGTACTGTTACTTATTATCCTTGAAGTGACAGGCTCATCTTGTTCGTTTTTGAGAAAATGCCTGTCAAAGACCAGGTCTGAAGTTTGTCAGGCACTCTTCTGATTAAAAATGGTGTTCCATGAAAAACGTGGCAAGTTCTGTTTGCACTTGTGCTTTTTCTTGAGACAATCACCATGCTTTGCTGTGCAGCAGAAGTGATTTATTCATACTTAACATTTCTTCACATAAAATATTAAAATGGTCTGTTCTCAAGGGTCAAGATTTAAATAATTTCATGGGTAGTTCAATGACATTCTGAAGTGAAACTGGCTTTCTTCCCCTATAGTACATGGCCGTGAAGAATACAATGACTAGAGTGTAGCTCGTCCTGATTTATGGTAGGTTACCATCAGGTCCCATCACCCTTGCTTGCTTTTGTAGCATCAGTGCAAATGTTGACTCAGTCAAAATGTCAAATAACATCTTAGTGTTATTATGGGATTAGTTTTAACTTTGTAGGCTTCCTGAAAGGGTCTCACGGACCCTCAGGAGTCCACAGACTACACTTTTAGAACTTCCAATCTGACAGTTGATTCTAACAGCAACCCAACGTGCTTCCAATGAAACTCTCCTTTTCTGAAATCAGCCAGAGTTGGTTTCTGTTGCCTGTCATCCATGTTCCATGCTTAAAAAAAAAAGGTATATGGGTGGTTGGTTGAATCAAAACACTTAACTCTAATTTAGGGTGTTTCGTAAGTAAATCCTTTGTTGTTGATGCTTTGCACAGCAAATAATGAGGAACGAAAGATTCTAAAATTTTACTTTTATAAAAAAACTTCCATGCTTTCTACATTCATGGTGTTAAGTCAGTATTACATAGTCACACAAATCTATGCTGATTGATGAATTGTGGTAAAAGAAGGGTCAGGGCACTAATGTTTTCTCCCTGCTCTGACTGCTTCCAGTGACGTTTGTGAGCTAAGTATGACTGTCCTCACTTTAGACATTAAAATAAACAAACAAACAAACTTGAATTTGATGGTTAATTCCCTGGCATCTTGACTAAGAAGCTCCCAAACCCCAGTAGCTCTTTGCTTTAGAGGTACCTAAGAATTTCTGATGTCAGAGATTTATGCCTTGGAGCCAGTGCTGCAGAATCGTAGACATCAGGGATGGTTCATTAGGAATTTCTTTTATAGATTATATCATGATGACATGATAATACTGGCTTTGTATTAAAGCAACATTTAAAAATTATTTATTTTCTTTTTTATTTTTAGAGAGTGGGGAAGGGAAGGAGAAAGAGAGGGAGAGAAACATCAGTGTATGGTTGCCTCTCACATGCCTCCTACTGGGGACCTGACCTGCAACCCAGGCATGTGCCCTGACTGAGAATTGAACCAAAACCCTTTGGTTCACAGCCTGTGCTCAATCCACTGAGCTACACCATCCAGGGCTAAAGCAACATTTTTGACTTTCCATGAGGTGGTATTTTTGAATTGGAAGAGACATGACTCGTGATCTGTCCAAATTTCTCACCACTGGAGCATGCTGGAATAGTCAACAAACTTCAAATAGCACTTTGTGGGTGGTGACTTCTGATAACCTGACTAGTGTTCGTTTCATGGAATCGAAATGTAGCACATGCAATGGCAGCCATCTCCTTAGATGTCCTGAAGAATCCCCTCTCCCTGATAGTCACACCCTTGTGTCATCCTTCTGAGTGTGGACAAGATCTGTGACTTGTCTCTAACCAACAGAATATATATAGCAAGGGGTGGGATGTCACTTCTGTGATTGGGTTTCATAAGATGATGGCTTCTGGCTTGCTAGCAGACTCTCTTTTGCCTTCTGGATTTGCACCTTTTGGTGAGGTGAGTGGCCACGCCAGAAGAACCCGTATGGTAAGGAACCGAGGGCAGCCTGTGGCCAACAGCCAGTGGGGAGCTGAGGCGCTTGGTCCAACAGCCTGTGGACAGCCTAATCTGGCCAACAACCATTGATTGAGCTGAGAAACAGATCCTTCCCGACTCCAGTCTTCAGGTGAGACCCCGGCAGCAGCTGGCACCTTAACTGCACCCTTCCTTATAAGAGACCCTGAAGCACACCAACTGTGAGATCATATGTGTGTGCTGCTTTAAGCTGTGAAGTTTGGGGATAATTTGTTAGACAGTAATAGCTCACCAATACACTCTACTTTCTTTGTCTTTTTCTCTGTCAGGTCCAGGAGTGAGTTGTTTAAGGTCACTGGGTTCTTGCCAAGAGCGTTTACCTGTTTACCCACCACTGAAGGGGTTTCCTTTCAGAACCCGTCCCCAGGGTGAAAGGCGGCACCTGAAGTCCTCGGTGTTCATGATTTCTGGTGCTCCGGGAAAGCAGTCTGTGCTCTCCATCACACCCCACTCCGGTGCCTCACACTAGAACCTTCACTTAAGCATCACTTAGCTTGCAAATCAGAGGCAGCAAGCAGTTATTCCCTGGGGTCTGAAACTTCAGCCCAGGAGGGAGACTGAGTATGAATCCCCTCAACTGCTGTCCGCAGTGAAGTTATGAATGCAGAAATGCACATTCCAATCCAGTTCATAAGTGGAGCTGCAAAATGTTTGAATAATTGAAGCCATAAGTTAAGAAACTTACTGACAGAGAAGGAACTTAGGGAGATACTGAAATATATGCAATGCATAGGGCATCGCACAATCCACTTCACTCTAGATGGCTCAGTTTCCCCATCAATAAAATGGGGGTTGGCCTCCTAGTCCCAGAGCCTCAGAATCTTTCATTGGCACAGTCTGGGTTGCTGTGAGCTGGCCCTCTGGTTCCTAAATCAACTGTTAAATGAGAATAACAAGTAGTTATCTACTAAAGGGGTTGTAGGACTGAATGAAATAAAATGGAAACTGCAGCACAGAGCCTGCACACGGCTGAGCCTGGCTCTTATTACTTCTTAAAGGGGTCCTAGATCCTTAGCGTGATTGGGGCCGCGGGTGAGCGGAGCGCAGCCCGCACCCCGGCCTAGCGGCCTGCCCCGCCCATGTGGGGCCGCGGTCCGTCGAATGACTCGGTGCAACGTGTTTGTGGCGGTGGCGCGGGCTCTTCCGGGCGCTGCAGTTTCCTGCCAAGCACCGCGCAGCCGCCTCGGCCACAGGAGCCCCGGGGGCGCAGGCCTCGGCGCGGGTACTGGACCTGGGCTCAGCCGCGCACTCAGCCGGGCCCCGTGCCACCCGCCCCGCATGATGCGCACGGCACCGCTGCTGCTGCTGCTGCCACCGCTTCTGCTGCTGCTAGTGCTCCTAGCCGTTCCCACCGCCCGCGCCAGCCGTGTCCAGTCCGCAGCGGCGCCTCACCCAGAGCACCCGCCGCCTGGCTCGGGGCCTGTGAACACCACCCGGACCGGGTCTGGGGAGGCGGCGGTGGCAGGCGGCGGTAGCTCCAATAGCAGCGGCGATGCTCTGGTGACCCGCATCTCCAGTCTGCTCCGAGACCTGCCCACCCTGAAGGCAGCCGTGATTGTGGCGTGCGCCTTCACTGCCTTCCTCATCGCCTGCCTGCTGCTCCGCGTCTTCAGGTGGGTCCATTCGCCTCATTTCTTCCCCAGCAGGTCCCCTGCACCGCCTGCTGCTGTCACTGTGCGCCCTCACCGCCTGCTGCTGTCACTGAGCGCCCTCACCACCTTCGCGCACAGGTGCTCTGAAGGCACCGCTTGGTTTCACCCGAGCATATTGGTGCGCTCCGTCTACCCCTGCTCCCTTTGCTCCGCAGTGGTCTGCTCGCCGGGTGTGCCTGGGAACATTTTAGGAATTTTCTCCTCTTTTAACTGGATAGATATAAAGTAAATATGGGTCTTCCTTGAACTCTCTGTTCATGCTTAATGCTAACAATAGTACTCTGAATTTTGGTAACCTTACATATAATTTATTTTTATACCCATCTCACAGTTGAGGAAAATATTTCCCACGAGGCATGATGGCTTATCCAGGTAAACTTAGTGGTGGAAATAGAATTTAAACGCAGGTCTGTCTGACTTCAACCTTTCTGCCTTCTTCCATCCGTGGTTCCCTTAACCCCCCCCCTGTCTTTTTTCCCTTTCTCTTGCTACCAAAAGAAGCAGTACCTAGCATGTCGTGATGTCCACTGGATGCGTGTCGGCGGTATGCTTTGCAGCCAGGATTAAAGCTGGGCTTCAGGATGCTTGGTGACTCAGTGCCTCAGTACTTTCTGTTAGTGGGGTCAGAGACAACTCTACCATGCTTCTGCCTGTCTGAGCTGGCCCAGTGAAAACTCTGTGGGCATAAGGGACCTTGGAGAGGCTTTTGTAGGTAGCTCAAGTCCAAAGAAGAAGTATCTGGGAAATTGGGAAGGATGCTAGGTCCCTGGGGTGGTGAGAAGGGAAGAGCTGCCTCTCAGTGCAGGAAATGAACCAAATGTATCCTGTTACTCAGGCGGGCTGCTGGGTAGTGTGTGTGTGTGTGTGTGTGTGTGTGTGTGTGTGTGTGTGTGATCATTCACTGCCCATTCCCTCCCCTTCCAAGTGTACACAGTGTGCTCCGGTGTTTGATCAGCTGTTGGAGGTTTGGGGCCAGGGGCTTGCTCTCTCCCAGTGGGAGCATTTTCAGCGGCAGGAGCAGAAACCAGAACTGGAAGGGCAGGGCGGGGAGTTACCCGTAGGTTTGCTTTTGTTGCGGTGTAACTTTGAACCAACATGTTGCCTTGTGGGTCTGTAGGATTCAATGCCAGTGGACCTAAGAGAATGGAGAAGGGGCAATTGTGGCCCCCCAGCCACCCCACCATCCTGTGCCCTGGCTTAGACTATGTTTTCCTCACTTTGTTGGTCCCCTTCATGTGAAAATTGAATTGTCCCCCTCTTCACCATGGCCTTGCCACTGCCTGTACCTCTCTGTTCGCAAACCTCACTGGCTCCCTGTGGCCATTACCTGGGCATGGCATTCAGAGCCCTTACAAGCTGACACCAGTACAGCTTGTGGCCATCAGCCCTTCAGAGCCTTCTCTCTGTCGCCGGATCCTTTTCTTACACTTCTTGTCCCTGGGCTGGGCTGTTCTTGCTGTAGCACCTGCCAAGACTGCACACAGCCACCAAAACCCAGCTCCCATGCTCTTCATCTGGGGAGTTTTCATGGACATCTGAGTGAGGCTGTGACTTCCTTTTCTGGCCTCTTGTAGCCGTAGCCCTGTTCATCCTCCATACAGCCTTTCTCATGCTGGGTTTAGTATCCAGCTCCCATACTTGGAGACAGCCCTGGAGGGCGGGGGGGACCAGTTCATCCCAGTGTCTCCATACCCCTCACTGGCTTGGCATTCAGCAGACATTCCATTATCCTTTCTGATTCCTTGATGGTTCAGTTGGAGTGAACGTTGATGCCTAGAGCAACTCTGAGCCTGCAGGTTTGAAACAGCTCAGAATAGGCCACTGAACCCATAAGGCAGTGTACTTTTAAGGAAGGTATTTGAACTATTTTGCCAGTCTGCTCTTCATTATCCAGGAGCTGGGGAGAAAAAGCAAGCAGCCTGTGGCCAGATATGAGGGCCCTGAGCCGCATGTTTGAGTGGGAGAGCGGCACCCAAGCCTGGCAGGGGTGGGTCCTCATTGGCTTGGGTGCAGACTCTTGGGAAAAGGTTCTGACTTCATGGGAAGCCAGTCATGGACACGATCTGCCTCCCTTTTCTGGGAAGGTGTTCTTTCGGGGGCAAGTTTCCAGGTGGACAGCTGTCACTCTGGTTGCTGACGTAGACCGGAACTTACAGCATGTATAGCAGGGAAGGGGCCAGATGGTACACAGTCCACATGTGCTCCTTGGCAAAGGAGAAAGCTGTATCTAAGGGCATGGTGTGAGTCATCTGTTTGATTCCAGAGCACTCTACAAGTCTACGGCCCAGGTAGTGCCAGGGCTCCATCATGCCGCTCAGTGGTCCATACTGTGACCTTTCCCTCTTTCCACGGCCCTCTGCAGGCTCCGTTTATTAGGCTCCCAAAGGCGGGCTGCACTGGCCGGGCATCCTTCTTACCTGCTCCCTCTCCCAGCTTCTTAGCAGGCAGTTCCCATTCCTGGCCATTCTGCCCCCCAGTCACCCTGAGGCTATCCCACCTGTGCGTACAACCCTTTACCCTGAGGAAGCTGCTCCACCTGCCAGCCCTTCTGCCCACCCTGAATCCCCACTTTGTCTCTGAAATAGACACAGCAATAGTCTTCAGGGGTGCTTCTGCCACCAACATTGCCCCTGCTCCCTGCACCCTCTCTTCTTAACATGTGAGCAAAGTGGCTCTTCACAACCAAGGCCTTGCCTCCCTCTTGAGCTCCTGTCTTGGCTCTGTCTGCTACTCCAGCCCTCCTGGACTTCCAGGGGTTCTCCAGAGGTGTCCTGTGGCCCTGGGCCTGAATGTCCTGCCCCAGTCCGCCCTGCTGCCTGAAGTTCCCTGTCTCACCAAGACCACACTACCAGCTCTTGGCTGTTGGCCTTCCTGAGTTGTCTTTTGTGAGAAGCCTGCCTTGCCAGGGCCTCCCAGTGCTCCCAGAGTACGCTGGGGTTTTGACTTTTCTACATGGAGTCAATAGAATTACTGGATATGTCCCTTTGCCATATGAGTATGATTTGGTATCTTATTGCTTTGTTCTGCATTTCCCGCTTTCTGTTGTGGTTGAGTAGCTATGTCTTCCTGTACTTGTTAATCCATAAAGTTTCCTCATTTGTAGTCTCATTTGTACTTTTTTGCCTTATTTCAATCATTAAGGAAAACAATTTTAAAATGAGACAGAATCGGAAGGTGGGAAAGGCAGTTTGGAGGCAGACTGCCCTCTGGTGCGAGTACGTGTGTGTGTGTGTGTGTGTGTGTGTGTTGCACAAGCAGTTCTGCCCAGCTCACAATGAAGCCACCCCTCATGTCTATTCCTCGACATGTTTCTGAGAGCGGGAGGGAATGAACACAGAGGCTGTGTCTAGTTAGTATAAAACTTGGATTCCTCCGATTTTTTTGTGTCGGAGTGTCTGTGGCGGGTAGCCTGGATGCAGGGACAACACACACACACGAGTTCTCAGCACCTTCTGCTCCATGCGCTCTCTTAGGTCTAACTTTACCCTTTGAGACCTGGGGGATTGAGCTTTACACTCTGGTGTCTTACAAGAAGGTGGAGACATTTAGAAACTGCCACCTGAAACCACAACTTTCCTGTCCTCTTGGGGAGCCTTTCCCTGTCTCTGCGAGTCTCCCAGCTCTCCTCCCAGGCTACCTTTCTCCCAGATCTCCATTCAGCTATAGGCCCAGCCACCTCTTATTTCAAAAGCCCTGTGAAGTCCCCTTGTCTGGAAGGAGGGTTTGTTTTGGTGCTTCCTGGGGGATGGAGAGGAGGAAGAATTCTAGGTGACCGGCCATCACCCATGTGTTGCACATGCATCAGCGGCACAGGTGCACACCACCATGTCCCGCAGGTGTTGGAAGCAGGGACGCTCAGTTATTTTATTCAGCCAGGTCTTTGAAAAGGAACAAAAACTTTTCTGCTTAGCCTGGAACCCCCAAATTTCCCATTGACTGTGTGTTGACATTTGTAATAGAATGGAAGTTAAGAAAAAATGTAAAAGCCTTATACTGTTAGGATCTGGAGAATGTTGCCATTTTGAAATGTTTTTAGTTATTGCGCCTTTGTATGTCAGTGTTGTTTTAATACATTGGGAGCTTTGGGCAGAGCTGTGGTTAGAAGGCCCAGCCCCTTCCTATGACTTTGAGAGGTTGTGGAGTTGGTTTCACATCAGGAGGTCATTTCTGGTGCTTTGACTAAGATTTTGAATTGAGGGAAAAGCTACAGAAGTGAAACATATTCATCTTAATTTAATATAAAGTTTTAGTTGATTTTTTCTTTAGTTACATTGAGATATAATTGAGATACAGCATCTTAAATGTATACATTTAAGATGTACAGCATAATGACTTGGCGTGTATATTGGGGAATAAGTTTAGTTAACACTCATCATCTCAGATTTTAAAAAAGGAAAAAAAAATGTGGGTTTTTCAGTGATGGCAACTTTGGGGTTTACTCCCTTAGCAACTTTTAAACATACCATGTAGTAGCGTCAGGTTGAGTCATCACGATGGGCATCACCGCCCCACCCCGTAAGTATCTGTCTAATAACTGGACATTCGTACCTCCGGATCACTTCCATCCAGCTGCCCTCGTACTTGGTTTTGTGTGCCACAGTGAAGGGAGACCGTTAAACAAACCTAATGCAGCAAAAGTCCACCCGTGCTTTCAAAGGGGGTAGAGAGGGTGCCCTCGATTCAGTTCTCTACCAAGTTAGAAGAAAACAGTCGTGGCTCGTGGGGAGAACAAGCCTCTTGGCTGTTTCTCACCTGGGGAGGTTTTTCCTCTTGGGAGCAGCTGGCAGTGTGTGGGGACATTTTTTATTGTTGCGACCTAACGAAGGGGACACTGCTGGCATCTAGGATGGAGAGACCAGGGATAGCCCCCTCAACAAAGAGTCATCCAGCGCAAGATGTCAGTGCGGCCAAGGTGGAGAAACCCTGAGAGTCCTGGCTGTGAGGCCTGCCGGTCATCTACT